TTGTCGGAGTGGGAGGGGAAGATGAGGCGGTTGAGATCGGAGGCGGAGGGGAAGTCGGCATTGGTGTGCCAGGCGGGGGTGGCGATGAGGGTGTCCATCCAGTCGTCGGAGTCGAAGTCGGAGAAGCGGAATGGGGCGGTGGAGAAGTGGAAGGGGGGGTCTGGCTGGAAGGGGTCGGGGAAATCGGAGGGAGGGAGAGGGTAGCCGAGTGGAGGAGTGTTGTTCCATGGAATTGGATGCAGGGAGAGTGGCGTGAGAGGGTTTTGTTGCTGCTGCTGCTGTTGTTGTTGCTGCTGCTGCTGCTGCTGCTCTTGCTGCTGCTTCTGCTTTATCACTTGCTGCGCAATCGCCATTAGGTTGCCGCTGTCGGCACACATGTAAGCCATTCCCTCCCTCTGCTAATCACATCCCACACTCTCACTGAGTGAGTCAAGTGAGAATGGTTGTGGTTTGTGGAGTATTAAGTAATCACATCCCTCACTGCGTAAGGGTATTAAGGGGACTTCATCCATTGAGCCGTTGCACACTTGCACTTGCACACACCAACCCAATCTCATTCATTTCAAACACACACGCCATCCCCATGGCCCCACTTTCTTTCTTAATCTTAATCCCTCTCTAACCCTTTTTCCATCCCCATCTTATATTACTTTTCCACAATCACAATTCACAAATCCTTAAATACATCTCTACAAATGCACTCCATAACTTCAATAAAAATTATAACAATACTAATTAGTTTTTTTTTTTTTTAATATTCTACAAATTTATTTCACACTCTTTTAATCAGTTCAAAGTGAGCTATTTAATATTTACTCAAAAATATTTTATCAGAGCAATTTTATTACTATTTTAAATATGGAACACTTTATAAAGGTAAAAGAGGAATTAATCTAATCTCACCATTAAACCTATGTGATATAGATTACCTTTTCCATGTAGCTTTCAAATTATTTATAGATAGCTTCAGAAATTTTCAAAGTGATCATGTGTTTTTATGTAAATTAACTGATTATCTACTAACTTAGTCTTAATAGTGGACTTAAAAAGATCATCCTGAACCTAGAGGATATTGGCCTATAAATATAGAGCAGATTAGTCCAAGAGATTCGTTTAAAACATTAAAATACGTAGTTGTTCAGCCTCGATCATAAATTGTAAAAAGATGCAGGAGATCCATAAATTCAAATCAAATACTAATGATGTGTTTGGAGAACTATTTTGACTGGTGTATACACTGCTAATATTACTTCTTAACATCAAATCTTACTTTTTTATTCTACGGTATTTTTATTGCGTTTCATACTTTCATTGTGCCATGGTTAACTACACAAGTCTAACATAATGCTTCCTTATGTCCCCTTTTTCTTCTACTTTATGGATTATTTTTCAACAATAATGCTATTCAAAATCAACTTTATGACTCCATACAACTTTTTTCCTTAAGCTGTTTAGAGTAATTTAATTTTAATGACTTTATTTCAAAAAGCTTTAGCCGTATTTCTGTTTTTGAAGCTTACCAAAACAAGATTTATTGAATTTATTCCTGTATAAAGTTTTCAATTATACCAAGTTGGTAAATGAAACAAATCATTATTACAGTCATATTAATATTTCCTTATTTGCTTACCAAAAATATTATTTATGGAAACTGAGTCACGTGATCCCGCGTGTGAGTTTGTTTCTAATTATCCCAATCGATTCCATCTTGTCCACATGCAATGCATTATACAATGCAATCGGATCACTGACAAACTCCGTAACGCACAGAAGGGGAAAACAAAGTTTTCTGTCTATGTATACATAAACATATATATATATATATATATATATATGTCAGCATAATTTTTTTTAGACTTTCAATTAAACAAAAATATTTGTATATATCTTTTTAGGTAATTTTATATAGATAATTTGTATAAAAAAAATACAATTATCGCAAAAATAAATGATATACTATTAGTCCTTTGTTTGTGAAAATAAGAGTTGCATGTGGTACACATTGGAAGGTGGTATAGTTGATAGAGTTGCATGATTCTAATTGAATTAAGAGGAAAGAAGAAGGGTGTAAAAGAACATGATTAGCTTCGGCTGCCACGATACTGTACAGATGTCAGCTTACAAGAGCAAACAGTGTGACAACAGTGTTCATAATTAATGGAAGCAATCGCATAATTCCAAACATTTTGTGTATATTGAGATAAAGGGTGTGTTTGTGATAATGTAAATTTGAATGAAATGGAAGAAAAGTAATAGGAAGAGGGTTAGGGAGTGTAGGGCGGTTGGATGGGTCCACAGGATTAGGAAAGGTGGGTCCCAGCCATGGTGAGGGGGCGATCTTAGACCAACGGAAATGCAAATGCTGAACGGAATGGAAAGCAGCGGTGCAGGATATTTCGACGGGATAATCGCTATCACTATCAATATCATCACACTCACAATCACATTCACGTTCAACGTTCTTCCATTTTTCATTTTGCTTCTGCCTCCGTGTAATCCACTGATCACACGTCACCATGCAGTCAACGCCCTCTACTAAGTCTACCATAATCAACATATATATGCATTTTAATACACTAACTTGTATTATATTATTGTTTAAGTGTCTCTGCTCCTTAACCTATTCAACCATCATACAAGTAACTTGTTCAACATTAACAAATACCAAACGCGTCTACGCTTACTTACATTGACACTTGCTAATTACAATAACATGTCCCTTTACAATGCTCATAATATTTTCCTTCTTCAATAACACTTGCCAACAGGATATCAATGCTCTTAACTAATAATATTTAATAATTTCTTTTGCTGTTGTGAATCAAATTAGAGTAGAGCATTCTAAAAAGAGTAAAAATGCATCCCCACACTCATACATAAAGTCTTTTCGACGTTGTAAAGTGTGAAGTTGAGGTTGATTGAGTTGGAAAATAATAAACGGATGGTGGGAAACTATAAGCAGACAAACTTAAACGTCACTGTCTGAGTCAATGGTAGGATGATTAGACAAGAAATCAAAGCCAGCCATACTTTGCTTATCTTTAAAACCTGTTAGCCCCACCAAATTCGCCTTAATTATCCACACTTTTCCCTTCACTTAAAAAGGGCTATTTTATTTAATTAAAATTACCTTTTTACCTTTAATTCGTTCTTATAAAAGTTTCATTTTCTAATTTAAGCATATATACTTTCCCTTTCTTTTCTACATTTTATTTTATTTTATAAAAATTAAACTCGATATTGAGTTAATTATAACAACTTACACAAATAATTTTATCAAATGAATTAGACTCTCTTACCATTTAAAAAGAAACAAAAGTAATATATGAATCTATTGAGATATTTGTCGTGATTCTCTTTATAATAAGATCCTCCCCAAATCATCTCAGACATTAATATTTTTATTTATTTATAGAAAATGCTCTTAATTAATTATCTCACTCTTTCTTATTTGTACCCGAAACAAAAATCTCTGTCTTGTTAGAAGGGAAGAATCCCCGATTATTATTTAAGTGGAGATATATTAATAAATTTATTAAAAAAAGTATTAAAAGAATAGGGTTTCACGATTTTAAAGATAATTTTAAAAATATCATATACACAAATTATTGACAATTAAGTATAATACTACTAAATAAGTTAAAATTTTAATTTTGATACACTATTAGTTAAAATATTTCACATACTATTAATTAATTAAAAAACACTTTAATTATATATATATTTTTAAATAATGATTACCAAAATACATTTTTTAAAGTATATTAACAAGTTATAATCAATATTATCTTAAAATACACTAATTTTGTAGCTTAGTAACATAGTCAAACTAAAAAATAATTTTAAATTAGAATTTAAGTAATTTTTAGTTAGAATATGTTGTTAGCAAGTTAAGACTAAAATATTTTAAATATACTAATGAAGTAATGATAAGTTACTGATATACTTCAATTAAAAAACAAGCAAGTGCATATTAACAAATCTTTAAATTAATTATAAAACCAATAGTTTCAATTATATACTAATTTGTTATCGAATAATAATAATAATAATAATAATAATAATAATAATAATAATAATAATAATAATAATATTAAAAGTGTATTTTATTAATTTTTGAAAACTAATTAAACTTTGAATTATATATAGAAATGAGATATAATGACATTAATATAAATTCTACCGACTATATCATCACTCAATTCAATTAAATCATAATTCTTTAAAGTTTACTATTAGATTGAAAGTTCATTATTATTAGATTATATATACAAATTTTTATATTAATTTAAAATAATTTAATATTTTATTCATGTAAATTAAAATTGACATAATATATATATGTATATATTAAAATATATTAAAATAAATATTTTAATTATCTTTAAATTATTATTTAATTTTAATAAAATTTGACATAAACATACAAAATAATATGAAGTTATAATTTAACGATTGAATCAACAAAATTTATATTTAATTAAAAATTATTAAATAATATAATAATTAATAAAAATTACACTAGTGTAATATATATATATATATATATATAATATTAATTATACATTTATAAGTGATCCTGTGTTTGTATTTTTGTCTAGTTTAATATGAACAGTGAATCTATTCTTTCTTGCTTCTAATTTTTTATTAAAAAGTGAGAAATTTTGGTTCAACCCGAGTTTAAAAGATTTCCAAAGACAAGGTTATTTTTTATGATGAAGGCAAACAAAGTTCCTTAGTTTTTGCTAAAATAACTGTCGAATGGATAATGGGGGCAAGGTTATTGAATTGGTTTGGTTGATAGATACATACATTAAAAATAAAATAAAAAACATAGAAAGGGTTGCCTTCTCCGGATGGTAACAATAGCATGACCCATACATGTTGATAGAAAATGATAGATGTGAAGAAGGAAATGGACAAGTCGATCGTAGCTCCATTCTTGTTTTTGTTAATGCTTGGTGAACAAATTAAAGCCAGCATATAAGACACAGACTATGAATGCATCCATCCATTTATCATTTTTTTCTGAGTAATATCACTCTTCTCTTCTGTGCCCATTTTCTTTTGCTTTCGTCCATACCCATGAAATCGGAATAACCGTTTCCCTATCGTGCCAGACCTACTTTTTTGCTTTGACCCCCTTTGTCTCTCTCATTCTTCATTCATCATTTACAAAAATAGACATAAAACAATTAACCACTAATATCTGTTTGTTCAAAGGGGAAACAAAACTCATCAAAAGTGCAAATTCAACTAATAAAAGCTAGGATACATCCTATAATCACTACAAATCCTGGTGCTTAGTAGTGGGAAATTAAGATAGCATGCATATAATCTTAAATTTGAATTTCAGTGGCAGCTTGAATATTATTTACATGTCTCTCAACATATATATCTCGTGACTTTGCAAGGTAAGTCCAAAACAGATACACAATTGAGATACATAACACAATCCAAAACAGATACACATCTCTCAACATCGCCCTTGCTGCTACATGTTTGAGACGTTGCTATCAATGGAGGTTTGGCTCACATGAAATAGACATAATAATAAGACATATCATTGGAGTTCAGAGAGCTAGTGACGAGGATGCATCCCCAGCACGTTCTATGTAGTATTTAATATTTTGTTTTTTTGTTTTTTTTTCTTTACTGTCTTGTGGGGTAAAATTGAACTAATCATAACAAGTGAAAAATGCTCCATCAGTGACCTTATAGATGAGAACATGATTCAAATGGACGTCAAATTTATTAGTTGCTCATCGTCAAGGTGTCATAAGTCATAACACAATCTGACGACTACACCTATAGTCTATGAGTCTGGACCCAAGTCATAAATATAAAAAGTGTTGGTTAGTTTCTTAAAAAATAAGAGTAGAATTATTTTATATGTGTTTCATTATACATTTAAATTTAATCTATTATGTTTATGTTGTTGGATACATTCACTATTTTTTTTTACGTGATATTTTTTTTTATTGAGTTTATAATAGTCAAAATTCTATTTAAGGAGTTTATTGTTTTCCCTAAATCATTGAATTTGTTATTATTTATAGTATATAACATCATCATGTATTAAGAGTGAGGATATGAAACTCTTCTAGAAGGATTTTATGTAAGATAGAACTAGATTCATAATAGATAATAATAGTTAGAGATTAATTTTTCATAATTCTTATTTTTGCTTTCATTCGATCTAAAAATGTTATTTTTTGTGTTTAATATCAGTAAAATTTCAAACAAAAAGTTGAATGCTTGAAGAGACTAGTTAGCTGGAAAGGAAGGAATTAAAGATAAATTAAGATTTGTAAACATGAACAACACGATCATCAATTGTAAGACTAAGTGAATGAAAATAATTCTTTCCACTCACTTGTATGTCCAAACACCTACATGAAGAGTCATAGGAAATAACAAATTAAAGAAGTAAAAGTAGAGAAAAAAAATAACAAACCATAAATTTATATTAAACCTGTACTACCTGTCATGAACATACTCGATCGTAGACCTAAGAACAGTTCCATATTTAAGCCCTTGTATTATTGGTTTTAAATATGATTGCTTCGTAAATGATGTCTACGAAGACATTACTTTTTTTCTTCTTCTTTGTATTAGTTGTTTATTTATTCTTGATGAATTCTCTCTCCCTCTATTATATATATGGGCACACACAGAAACTCTGGTCAAATTTGCAGTGAAGTGCTTTCTTGAACAAATACCATAGTTGCACAAAATAATGGAAACAAGCAGGGGACAGAAGCTGTTTTTATTTGGACTTTTAGAATGAGAAAAAGACGCATATGATGGTGGGAGGCACCGTGACTTTGACATAATTCTATCCCCTACTCATTGGTTTCTTTCAAATTTTACCATTCTTATGTTTTATAAAAATTAAAAGCAAATATTTCCCTCCATTCTATATTGTTAACCTCTTCTAAGAGTAAGAGGTTTTTATTTGTTTTTTTTTTCATTGCAATACCAAACGGATATAGTATCTTTCTGGTAACGGTTCTATATATATGTAAAATCACCGAATCATATACTATATATGAAAATAATAAATTAATCATTGAGAAGAATATATTTGATGGCATCGACAAAAAGAGATTTTACTTTAAAAAACTCGAAATCTAAATCAAAACAATAATTTTTTTTCTTTTCTAATTCAATTGACAGGGTTAATTGTTGTTTGTCTCTTTTCTATGTTTTAATAATAATTAGTTACATCTCACAACCAATTACTCTTTTTTTTTTTAATTATTGAAAAAGCACGTAATTAAATTGTATTATTTTGAATGTGTTTTTTGTATTATCCGGAAGTTCATGGTATGTGCTCTGCCTCTCCCATACATCTGAATCTTTATTTTATTTTTCCTTTCTTGTTCAGTTGTTCTAAGTTTTGGTTTGTTAATTGTTATTTAATGGTGTTTTGAACCTATATAATAAATGATCATTTGTTGTTTTCGTTACGTAACTTAAAAAAGACTTGTTGATGTTCTTAACACTCGTCTGCTAGTATGTAGTTAGTTTTTGTTGTTTTCTTCAAGAACCCTCCAATTTCGTGATTTCATCCCACACGAGGCACAAACACGAAAAACAAATAATCGTGCGTGGAGAAAATTTCGTACATTATTGTTAGCCATGATGAGAAGATATGAAGTGCTATTATTTTTTTATTGGGCTTATCCTTTCAAGAGTTGGCCCAGTATTTGTTTATATATTAAAAAAAATATTAGTTTATTATATAAGATAAAAATATATGAAATGAAATATTAAAATTAATTTTAAAAATTGAATAAATAGAAAGATTGACATGTAATATTTATATAGGGTGATTTAATTGGTTTTAAAGAAATAGTGCAGTAGTTAAATAGTTAAGTAATGAATAATAGTGTGATTTGCTGTGAAAATCAGTTTTGGAGCGAAACCGCATTACGTATTCAGATCTGCCCTAAGCCATGGGAGACGAGGAGGAGGAGGAGGCGCTGCCGTGCGTAACCACCGTTTCCGGCCAATCAGCCTCGGCCACCAACGCTCTCCGCAAATTAAACCTTCTTGACATACACGCCGATGATGCCGCGTCAGTCTCCTATCTTGATTCTTGCGCAATGCACTTTCATTTTATTATCTCCGATGATAATAATTTGTTTCTGACTTTTGATGCAGTGGCAAGAAGAAAAAGAGAGGCCAACGTGCTGTTGGACCTGATAAGACTGGAAGAGGTCTCCGCCAATTTAGCATGAAAGGTTTATTCATCTTTTCCTCAGTCGTATTTAGGATTACGTTCTAGCAACTGCTCCTAATTTTCGTTGCTTCTCTCTAGTGTGTGAGAAGGTAGAAAGCAGGGGAAGAACAACTTACAATGAGGTTAGGCGCTTCGTTACTTTATTTTCTAATTTGTTTTGTTTCTAAAATTTAATGTCATTACTTTTGTATTATAGGTGGCGGATGAGCTTGTTGCTGAATTTTCTGATCCAAGCAATACTGATTTGACCCCTGATCAGGTTTCCTCTCCTTCGTATGAACGATTTCTATATTGTCTCTAGTTTGCAAATGGAAGGTGTAAAATGAAATTAAGTTTTGTGGACTTACTTTTGGGGGTGAACATTTGTCAGCAACAATACGACGAGAAAAATATCCGTAGAAGGGTCTATGATGCTCTGAATGTTCTAATGGCAATGGATATTATTTCTAAGGACAAAAAGGAAATCCAATGGAAGGGTCTTCCTCGTACTAGTGTGAATGATATTGAAGAGCTAAAGGTTTGTCCAGTCTCGACTTGTTAATTTTTCTCCATGCAGCTTGTGCTTTTGCCTGCAGTGATGTTTTGAGTTAATCCGAAAAATACAATGAAGGACCATTATAACTCTGTAAATGTGTTTTATTCCAACAGACAGAGCGTCTTGGGCTCAGGAATAGAATTGAAAAGAAAACAGCATATCTGCAGGAGCTTGAGGAGCAAGTAAGTCCTTCCCACTCTCATTAAATCAATATGGGAACGAAATTGTGTATTTGGTTCTCGTCGTTTGAAATATGGACTTGTTGAAGACCTTGACAAATTACTTATGTTTTATGTTAAGTTTCCGTTGGCTAATTACTTGCATTATTTCGTCAAGTTCGTAGGTCTTCAGAACCTTATTCAACGAAATGAGCAGTTATATAGCTCAGGAAATCCTCCTCGTGGAGGTGTATCTTTGCCGTTTATTCTGGTACAGGTACATCATCATCCCATTATCTCCTGTTCTGATTTCCAGTACAAATTGTTGCTCAATTTTAACTTGAATCTTAAATCTGTAAGATAATGCTTTTATTTTATTGTTATCAACTCCCTATTCGGAATGTTCTGAGTGTGTTTGTTTTGTTGTTAAAAATTTGCAAACTTAATGGAAAAGATAGAAAAAACTTGCTCTGTATTTTGGTATTTTGGAAAGAGTGATTTCACGTTTT